GGTTGGGTGGAAGAGCCAGTTATTAACAGCTCTAGCAAAAGTAATATATGTCACTTCTGGGCTAAGCATCAAATTGCCAAGATGAAACCCTTTGGAACTCTTTTCTGTTTCTTGTGGTAACCAAAAATGTTGCAGATTGTGGCTGCTCCATCATCCTGTATCCTAGAGTTGGTTTGACAAAGTGGAGCAGAGCCCATGCTCTAACTCAGTAGTTAGGATGAGAAATAAACTTCTGTTGTGTTAAACCATTGAGAGTTAGGGCTGTTTGTTACTGCAGCATAACCTAGCAAATCCTGACAGACACGGAGGGTGAGAAAAAGAGAAGGATTAAGGATGACTAAGAATTCTGACTTGGGCTATTGGATGGATGGTATTAACATTCTTTGGGGTTAGGAAAAGCAGAGGAAGGAGAGAGCTGGGTTTTGTTTGTTCATTTGTTTTTAGGTGGGGGATTAGGTGAAGTTTTAGACATTTTGAATTTGAGATTCTTATAGACATCTAATTGAGAAGTTGAGAAGGCAGTTAGTAAGTGACTCCGAATCTCTGAAGAGTGATCAGGTCTGGAGACAGACATCTGGGACATAAGAGTAAGAAAGAAAAATAGGGATAGAAAATCAGGACCAAGGGGAAAACAGAACACATATGTGTTAATGACAAACATTAACACAGAAGCTATGATTGAAATTTAAATTGGGAGGTGAGCTTTCTGGCCAGGGAAACTGGGGAAGTATATTCTATTATATGGCTCTCACTATTGCAAATAAATAAATGTATCACACTTGTAATCTGAGCACTTTGGGAGGCCCAGGTGGGAGAATCACTTGAACCCAGGAGGTTAAGGCTGCAGTGAGTCATGATCACATCACTGTGCTTCAGCCTGTGAGACAGAGCAAGACCCTGTCTTGATCTTAAGTAAGAGAGAAAAAAAGAAAATATGAGGCTGGGCGTGGTGGCTCATGCTTTTAATCCCAGCAGTTTAGGAGGCCAAGGTGGACAGATCACCTGAGGTCAGGAGTTTGAGATCAACCTGGCCAACATGGTAAAACCCTGTCTCTGCTAAAAATACAAAAATTAGCCCGGTATGGTGGTGGGTGCCTGTAATCCCAGCTACTTGGGAGCCTGAAATAGGACAATCACTTGAACCTGGAAGGTAGAGGTTGCAGTGAGCCAAGATTGCACCCTTGCATTCCAGTCTGGGTGACAAGAGTGAAACTCCGTCTCAAGAAAGAAAATATGAGCTCATGAGCACAAGGAGACATGAATGAAATGCTCATTGAGCATTGTTTATTATGGCTAACTATTGAAAACCGTCTTCATTTCTACCAATAGAAAATAAGTTATAATTGATTCATATGCTAGGCTAATAAATAGCGTAGAAATTAATGATATGTACCTATCTACCCCCATCCCCAGCCTAACTCTGTGTTTCCTGGGTTTACTAGACCCTTTTCTTCACATGGTCTTGTTGTAAACATGGCAAATACAATTACTTAATTGTTTTCTGTTTATTAAATTGCAGGTTTTTTTCCATATTCTGTCCTCGAGAATATCCAACACACTTTCTCCTTTTTTTTCTTTTTGAAATTAGAAAACTCCCTTTTAGAGAGTTTCTAAATTCTTCACATATTTATACACAATTATTTGGTTTTCTCTTCCAGAGCGCTAATCGTGTTTATGATATATGTGGTTTGCTTGTGTTATTTTGTGGCGTTCTTGTTTCTAAATCACTGGGTGGGGAATTATGGCCTCCAGATGGAAAGAAACAATGTTGCATGAGCTGAATTTTGAAAGATGATTAGAGTTTGCCTAGCAGACCATGGTAGGTAAGGGCATTTAAGCTTGAGGGATGAAAATGTGTAAACTCACAGAGATGTGACACAGCTGGGCTTGTTCAAGGACCTAGGAGCAGTTTTTAAAGTTCTCAGTGTGACTGCAGCAGCGTCAAAGCCAAGTCCAAACATGGGGAATTTGGTCAGGGAGGGGGTGGGCTCTGTCTCTGGGTAGTGGGGGAGGAAGTCCGTAAAGCAGGCATTGCTCTGTGGCTCCCTCTCTGCGTGGTCAGTCTTGCTTTCACGCTGCTTCCCCGGGTCTTCTCATTATCCCTGTAACAGTAGTCATGTTGACATATTAATCTTGAAAATAATTGCTGAAAGGACTCCAGTTTGGAAGAAAGTTCTCAGGAGGAGTACTCTTTCCTTAATTCTGCCGCTGTAGAGCCTTCAAGAGAAGGCTGGAGATAGAGGCAAACAGAGCCCTGACCACACAGGCTTGGTGCAATAGGCAAAAAGCTTGCTTGCATGTAATCTGGTAGGCGATGGAGAGTCTGCAAAAGGTTTCAGGCAAAGGAGCACTGCAGTTTTTGAATAAAAACAACACACATTAGAGAGTAAACATGGCTGGATGCAGCTCATGCCTGTAATTTCAGCACTTTGGGAGGCTGAGGTGGGAGGAGACAACTGCTGGAGCCCAGGAGTTTGGGTGCAGGCTGGGCAACATGGCAAAACCCCATTTCTAAAGAAAAAAAATAGCAAAATTAGCTAGATGTAGTGGTGCATGCCTGTAGTACCAGCAACTTGGGAGGCTGAGGTGGGAGGATCACCCGAGCTTGAAGGGGTTGAGGCCGCAGTGAGCTGTAATGGCACCACTGTACTCCAGCCTGGGTGACAGAGTGAGATTCTGTCTCAAAAAGGAAAAAAAAAAAAAAAAAAGAGAGAGTAAACAAGTAAACATACCCCACACTCCCCTAACACACAAACATATATGCGAATATGTGAATAAATAGACGCAGTATCCTTAGAGACATTAGATAGGTACTCCATAAATATTTCAAATATATATGTAAATATATGCCCAAACAATTGCTTAGTTTATTCCTATGTGATGTGTATATACCTGTACATATGTATATATGTACAACCCATACGTATATGAATAAACCAAAAAGTGACTGAGGTAAATAATTGATTTAGGGGTTTATTTCACCAAGGTTGAGGACACACCCAGAAAGAAAAAACACAAGTAACAGGATTTGTGTCCTGCACTTTGTCTTGAAAAACAATAAATAGAATAAAAATAACCCAATAGAAAAATGGGCAAAGGATTTGAAACGAAGAGGAAACCCTCAAAAGAGGGTTTTGAGGACTGTAATATTTAAAAGGAAATTAGTGAGCAGGAAGGGAAAGAGGAAAGGGGAAATAGTGGCAGAGGATAGGCAATGAGGCAAGCAGTCACATTCGTGTGAGGCTTCTTTTGTGTGTGTCATGGACTTTTGCTCTTGCTACCCAGGCTGGAGTGCAGTGGTGTGATCTCGGCTTGCTGCAAACTCCGCCTCCTGGATTCAAGTGATTCTCCTGCCTCAGGAGAGCAGTTGGGATTTCAGGCATGCACCACCATGACCAGCTAATTTTGTATTTTTAGTAGAGATGGGGTTTTTCCATGTTGGTCAGGCTGGTCTCAAACTCCTGACCTCAGGTCATCCACCCGCCTTGGCCTCCCAAAGTGCTGGGATTACAGACATGAGCCACCATGCCTGGCCTCTGGTGAGGCTTTTTTTTAAGCACCCAGTGAATCTACATTTTCCATGGGGGGAAAAAAAAAAGGAGCCAGGGAAAGGCAATTATACATTTGTTTTGTGCTCAGATCTACAGTTTGCATAAGACAAAGTAAGCATGTGAAATTACAGCTATTTGTTTGGGAACAAAAGGAAAGCAGTTGTTTTGTTGTTGTTGTTGTTGTTGTTTTGAGACAGTCTTACTCTGTCATCCCGGCTGGAGTGCAGTGGCATGATCTCAGCTCACTGCAACCTCTGCCTCCCAGGTTCAAGCCTCATCCTCCCAAGTAGCTGGGATGACAGGTGCCCGCCATCATGCCTAGCTAATTTTTTTTTGCATTTTTAGTAGAGATGGGGTTTTACCATGTTGGCTAGGCTGGTCTCGAACTCCCGACCTCAGGTGATCCTCCCACCTCGGCCTCCCAAAGTGCTGGTATTACAGGAGCAAGCCACCGCTCCTGGCCGGAAAGCAGTTTTTGTGTGACTCAGGTCCTAAGCCTAACTTTCTCTTTGTCGTGGTGAGTTGGGGGGGGTCACAAGATTTTATTTTATATATACATATATGTAACATGTATTTTATATATGTATGTATGTAATTTACATACACACTGTCTATAGAGAGAGACAGACAGAGAGCTGGAGAGATTGGACGGATACTTCTCAAAAGTATCGACAGTGGCTCCTACTGTTCACCAGACTGGGACTCTGTCCCTCACCCCAACTTCTCCACCTGCCGAAATACTGCTCATTCTTCAAAGCTGCATTCAAATCCTGGTTTCTCCATGAAGCCTCCCCATTCCCACCTTCCACGCCAGTGTTCATCTCCTCAGTGTGCCCATACATTTTGTTTCTTCCACTTTGGCATTTCTTTCTGCCTGTTCTAATTCTTTGCATCTCTTAACTAGACTGTAACAACTTTGAGAGTAAGAGCCATTTCCTAGTCATTAAAAAAAAAAAAAAAACCCACAGTTCTAGCACAAGGCTTTGCATGTCATAGATTCTCAATAAATAATCATTGAATGAAAGTCATTTTAAAAAAACTTTATTTTGAGATAGAAACCTTTTTTTTAAGCTATAATTTTCTTTTACTCACTGTTGATGTCACCTAACAGAAATATACAAATTTTTCCTTATTTCATTATACTTAAAATTCATTATACTTAAAATTTAAAAACCTGATAATAGGGAGGAAGCAGCACGGGCTTGAGCAGAGTCGGCCCGCCACCTCTGCAGCCGCCGTGCCCCAATCCGATCTGGCTCGCCTGGGCTCAGCGGCCACGGGGCCGCAGCTCCCGGTGGAAATTATATTACATAGACTGTTTGGGTGCCATATGCCCGAAAGATCTCCCAAGAATTACAGAAGACAAAAATACTAATGCATTTGAGAAAGCGGTAGTTTTTGGGGGAGGGGGAAAAAGCAACTGCTTTCCTCATCTGCAAGTTGGCTGGATCCTAAGATGTCTGTGGACATGAATAGCCAAGGGTCTGATAGCAATGAAGAGGACTATGACCCAAATTGTGAGGAAGAGGAAGAAGAGGACGAAGTCCCTGGGGACATAGAGGACTATTACGTGGGAGTGGCCTTTGGGGTCAACCCCCCTGGGAACACCAGGGGGCTGATGCCTTTGATCCCGAGGAGTACCAGTTCACTTGCTTGACCTACAAGGAATCTGAGGGTGCCCTCAATGAGCACATGACCAGCTTAGCCTCTGTTCTAAAGGTATCTCATTCAGTTCCTAAACTTATATTAGTTAATTTCCACTGGCAAGTTTCAGAGATATTGGACAGATACAAGTCCAATTCTGCTCAACTGCTCATTGAGGCTCGAGTTCAGCCTAATCCATCAAAACAAGTTTCCACATCCCATCCCCCTCACCACTGTGCAGTGTGTATGCAGTTTGTGCGAAAGGAAAACCTACTCTCTCTGGCCTGTCAGCACCAGTGTTGCCGAAGTTGCTGGGAACAGCACTGCTCAGTTCTTGTCAAGGATGGCGTGGGCATGGGAGTCTCTTGTATGGCTCAGGACTGTCTGCTCCGTACACCAGAGGACTTTGTGTTTCCATTGCTTCCCAATGAAGAATTGAGAGAGGAATACAGGCGCTACCTCTTCAGGGACTATGTGGAGAGCCATTACCAGCTCCAGCTGTGCCCTGGTGCGGACTGCCCCCTGGTTATTCCGGTACAGGAGCCTAGAGCTCGCCAAGTACAGTGCAATCGGTGCAATGAAGTCTTCTGTTTCAAGTGTCATCAGATGTATCATGCACCCACAGACTGCGCCACTATCCAGAAATGGCTCACAAAGTGTGCAGATGACTCTGAAACAGCCAACTACATTAGTGCTCACACTAAAGACTGTCCCAAGTGCAACATCTGCATTGAGAAGAATGGAGGCTGCAATCATATGCAATGCTCCAAATGTAAACACGACTTCTGCTGGCTGTGTCTAGGAGATTGGAAGACTCATGGCAGTGAATACTATGAATGCAGTCATTACAAGGAGAATCCTGACATTGTGAACCAGAGCCAACAAGCCCAGGCAAGGGAAGCCCTCAAGAAGTACTTATACTACTTTGAGAGATGGGAAAACCACAACAAAAGCTTGCAGCTAGAGGCACAGACATACCAGCGGATTCACGAGAAGATTCAGGAGAGTGTCCTGAACAATCTGGGAACATGGATCGACTGGCAATACCTACAGAATGCTGCCAAGCTCTTGGCCAAGTGTCGATACACCCTGCAATACACCTACCCATATACATATTACATGCAGTCTGGACCCAGGAAGAAGCTGTTTGAATACCAGCAGGCTCAGCTGGAGGCTGAGATTGAAAACCTCTCATGGAAAGTGGAGTGTGCTATGACAGAGGGGACTTGGAGAACCAGATGCATATAGCGGAGCAGCGGAGGAGAACCCTGCTGAAGGATTTCCATGACACCTAAGTTGGGATGTGGATGTGCTGGGGTGAGGAAGCTGCAAGGTCTCCCAGCTGCTGTACTGCATGCCGCAGGCTCTGCATTTCATGACCCCAGGCGACAGCCAGGGCTCCACTCCTGAGAGACACTGGCAACACCTCTTAGTTTATTTCTGTTTTTTTCTCTTTTCACTTTTTGTTTCTACCAGGGTAGAGGCCATGTTGAACTGGCCTCTTTTCAGGACTTTTATTTCCCCCTGGATGGTTGTTGGGAGGGAGGGAAAGTGTTTTCTGAATGGCTATTATTAGTATTAGATCATTACGACTTATGTAACTTTCAAAGGTTGTACAATTATACAAAGGAAAAAGAAGGCGAACTGTAGGATAACACGGAGCCCTTTTTGAAAATAAACTGGCGTTGGAGTGTTTAAAAAAAAAAAAACCTGATAATAACTACATGTCAAAAAAATTTCTTTCTTTCTCAAACAGTGTTTGATGTCTTACATATTGACATCTACATTGTGGGATTTCAACCTTGTCTGTCCATAGTAATCACCTGGACAATTTTTTAAAAATACCATTCCCAGAGCCACCACTTCTGCAAAATCTCAATGAAGATTTTGGATCAGTGGTGGCTCACGCCTCTAATCCCAGCTCTTTGGGAAGCTGGGGCATCACCTGAAGTCACGAGTTTCAGACCAGCCTGGCCCATATGGTGAAACCCCATCTCTATTAAAAATACAAAATTAGGGACAGGTGTGGTGGTTCCCACCTCTAATCCCAGTACTTTGGGAGGCCTAGGTGGGCAGATCACAAGGTCGAGAGTTCAAGACCAGACAACATGATGAAACTCCATCTCAACTAAGAATATAAAAATTAGCAGAAAATGGTGGTGGGTGCCTGTAATCCCAGCTACTTGGGAGGCTGAGGCTGGAGAATTGCTTGAACCTGGGAGGCAGAGGTTACAGTGAGCTGAGGTCACGCCATTACACTCCAACCTGGGCAACAGGGCAAGACTCCATCTCAAAAAAAAAAAGAAAAAAATTAGCCAAGCATGGTGGCACACACCTGTAATCCCATCTACTTGGGAGGCTGAGACAGGAGAATTGTGAAACCTCAGAGGTGGAGGTTGTGGTGAGCTGAGATCAGGCCATTGCACTCCAGCCTGGGCAACAAGAGCAAAATTCCATCAAAAAAAAAAAAAAAAGGCC